GGGCCGGAGGACTCGCGCCGCAGCGGTGGCGGCGCCCACGGCCCGAGGCTCCTCCGGCCACCGTGTGGGCTTCGGTCCCCGAGCGGGGAAGGTGGGCACTGGACGGTCGAGGCACAGCCCCGGAGGCCAGAGACGTTTCCAGCAGAAACGCACCGCCTCGCAGTTGCTCCCAAGCTACGGCTGCGTTGAAGGCCCAGGCTGGGTTTGTGGGAGCCAGGGGCGGCCCTCCGCAGCCGGCTGAGCTGGCTGAGCTGGCTGAGCTGGCGGGGAAGCCGGCGGCGTGTGCCCACGGGGCCGGGGCCGGGGCGGGCCTCGTGGGCACCCGGCGCCTGCCCACCCTCTGTGGCGGGAACCCGGAGGGGTTGCCCACCAGCCTGAGCCCCAGGCTCATGGCTTTGCATTTCCCGGACTGCAGGGAGGGAGGGAGGGAAGGAACGGCCGGCTGCCCGGTCGGGACAGTGCGCCAGGCGGGGCTGAGGCCTTGCTGGCCGGGAGGCCGCGAGCTCAGGCACGGCTGAGGGGACAAACTGGACAAACCAGCGCCCTCCCCAGCGGGCTGCCCCCCGCCCACTTGGGCCAGGCCCCTGGCTGAGCCACCGAATGTGGGCGGGATTTGTCCTCAGGAAACAAGCCAGTGAAGAGCTCAGACAGGAGGAAAGCCGTGACAGCTCTGCAGCTGTCAGAGCGGCTGAAATGGGGTGCAAATGGGGAAGGGCAGACAGACCTCTGCAGACACCGGTCCACCCTGCAGTGCATGCCCTTGCTGACACCCCAGAGTCCCAAGTGACTAAGTTACTAGTGTGATTTCTCCAAAACCTGATAGTCTCTTACCTCACAGCTCCTTCCCCGTAGATAAGATTCTCCCGAGTTTTCCAAAACTCCATTCTTTATGTTTTGAACTGATCAATCTTACTTCTCTTCCTTCCCCTCCCTTGACACAGCTGTAGGGGCAGGGGCAATGCTGAGGCCATTTCAGTGACAAAACACAAGTGGTGCAGTTTTGGATTATAGCCCAAAGTGTAAAATAAATACATATTTCATACTAATAATTCAGAAAATGGGAAACAGAATTCTAAGTAATATATGCATCTCGACTGACTCCCCCCCCCCATGAGGTACATACAGCTTAATCTCCAGTCTCCCTATTGAGTGTGAGCTGGGCTTAGTGCAAACAGAAGGGAACCGGTCACTTCACATAAACTCAGCAAAAACTACCATAACCTGGCCCTCCCTGGGGGCGCAGCGGGTTAAAGCACAGCACTGAGAATCTAAAGCCGCTTCCTCACAAGTTCGATTCCCGCCTGCCCCGGAGATGACCCCATGGCACGGCAGACCTCTCCTGACCCGCCCGCTGCTCCCCTCAGCAGTGGACTTCATCGATCTGCCTGTTCTGCTCCCT